CTTGTTTTGTTTCAACAGTGTAGGTGATGTACGACAGTTTTGAAAAAGTTATTTAAGATACTTGTAGAGCAATGGCATGGGAGAAAAGCTTTAAATAATGCACACAACGAAAATTTGCAAGTAGCAGCGAAATATTCTTGAAATTATGAAAAAGAGATTTAAGAACCTCGAAACAACAACATTTTAATGCAATTTGTTCCGTAGGATCTGGCTCCAGAAGCACCACGTGTCAAGTGCACAATGTAAGGTTAGTTTTGTTATAACCTAGTAAATTATTGTTCATTGAAGACCCCATATAATTGTAGATTCTACACAAGTTGGCGACCATAAAGGATGGCGGTCCAACTGTTAAGTAGCTACATCATTGTCCAGAATAGATTATTTGAGAACGAATAGCACCTATTTCAAATTTATTACATGGATTGCTATGTTGGTTAGGAAAAAAAAAACGCTTTAATTGCTTATATGAAATGGGTATTTTCAAGTTGCACGGGGAAGATGACCATCACCTTGTATAGTTCGATAAGCAATATCGTCGTTAGTGTTTTTCTGGTACAATATACATAAATAGATGCATATTTTTGTTCATACTCTCTTACACTCATTGGCACGCTCACTGCATTCACATATACTCGCTCATCATTTCATAATGTTTTGTTATCATCCTCACTCCAATATCTTTATCATGACGATTACATCATTGTCGTTTAGAGTTGTCTCCCATTACATCAACCAAAGTGCAAAATTGTCGGTAAATTTCAAAACCCTTGAATCTTGCGAGGGTACCGAAATCATCTGCATGAGGTGTGCAGTACACTGTAATCTATTAGTCGAGGTTTTTTTCTTATCAGCTCTTGTCAAAATTAGAGCAACATTTTCCGTTAAGCCGGGCCTGGGTTGTCTTATTGAATCTTGAAATATGCCAGCTGCATCGTACTAGAATTCGACCGCGCTGACCTTCACCTAATGACCAAAGGTTTAATAAATGCCACATTTTCAATAAATTCTTTTTTGTCCCTGATATGGGAAAAAATGAAGTATATCTGGCTGTATTGCCAATCTGCGCCTACTCCATACAGACATGCCTACTATTATTAATATATATATAAATGCTTATTATGGCCAATAATATGATACATTTTTTATTCACAAAAACAAAGCGAACGAGCATTGTCCACACCGTGTCGCTCGCATTCTATCGTCTATTGGTTCGACATGACGAAGCTGCCGTTTCCATCAAACTTGCAGCATGTTTAGTGATTGATGCTGGATTTTCCTGGTATTATAAAGAGTGGATTGCATGAATTTCCACGAACGCGGGAACAAAGGCTGAGGCGTACTTCCTTGTTCTTGGACATGTCACAAAGGCCTTTGTTTATAACAATTCAAAAAAGTTTTTATATATGTATGGCTATTTACACAGTTGACGGTTTACTGTTGTTATGCGTCATCTTTAGATGGGTACTGTCTAAAGTTACTTATCGAAATTTGTTTCTTCTACGTTCATTTAGGCTCGGGATGTCATTAGCAGGATGGGTGTACAAGTCAAATATTAACACGAGACGCAAGTTAATTATACCTGTAACGCAGTTTATTCCTAAAGCTCAGGTTGAGTCGTGGTCAGCTGTGGTGATCACTACCAAACATCTTTATATATAAATTTTAACGCACTTTTGTAAAGATAGAATGCTTTCCGATAACCTTTTTTAGTGTTCAAATATCTTTCGTTATTTATCACCAGCTCTTAAAGTTACGAAGGGCACGAGAAAAAGTGCAAAATATACTTCTAACGTGGAAATGCGCTAGCAGGATACTTTATACGAGTTATTTCCCTTACAATTAACAGTAAAATAAATACTGATTACTTGTGTCGCATCAAGAAAAGGTATGGCGTATTAAAAAGGCAAGTTTGAGTAAAACCAGATATGTTGCAAATTTTGTCCAAATACTTCGGCCACTTTTGTACAGCCATCAACAGATCTAGACATTGATTTACAATTATTTCTCCTCAAAGTACTGGGTGACAAATCGGAATTTAGAAATTAGTATTGTTTTTTTCATCGCATGGAAATGCCAGGGTTTGTTAGCCTGCGACTTTTCTTGTCTCAACATTAACCCATTACTGCAACTACATCAGCAATTTGTAGACAACTTCACAAAAGGTCAGCCAGTCGAGGTCAATTTTAAATATCAAAAGTAAAATATTTTTTAATTTACTAATTAACTAACATTTAAATCGCAGCGGAGGCATTCATAACAACGCAGTTCTGTTGAGAGTAAAGCTAGCTAAAATGTCAAAGAAAATCAGCTCAGAACAGATCGTTGTGTACATGTAGTGTTTCAGAACTTTCTACAGGCATTTGGGGAAAATCCTGATAAATTTAATATTTCATGCAGTAGCGTAAGTGCCTTAGGCTCGAGTAGGCACTAGCCTGTTCATTGTCAGTGAAAATTCAAGAAATTCAAAAAAATATAATATCTGTATTTATAAGAATGAAAGATTACACTATATCCAGGATGTTTTGTATAGATCTAGTACAAATTACGAAAAGTCCGTCTTTAACTCAGTGACTTAACTAGCAGGTATAAGTTGAACCCTAAGTGCAAAACCAAATTAGCCGCTTGTATTCCTGAAGGAAAACAAAACACAACGTCTCCCTGACCCCGATGTGTAAATCACACTCAGCATTGAAGGCATGCATCTGTCTATGCAGACAAAGCATTTGATATTTTAATCTTTGTCTGCAGAAATAAAAGAATGCTTGATAACCAAGGTAACGCTACAATTAGTCCGAATTATTCTGACGTTTATCGACTTTTTTCATATCGGTCTGTCGTCGGTTAATCGACGACAGACCGATATGAAAAAAGTCGATAAACGTCAGAATAATTCGGACTACGCTACAATGTACCTTTACACATTCCAGCTTTTCGAACGAAAAAATAGCTAATCTCGCTTCCGTATTACACTCTTTCCTAATACCCATTACAGATGGTATCCATCATAATGCAAATTATGCAAGTTATGCAATAAGACACGAGGATCTGCCTCGTTTGTATTTAATTCCGAAATTTTACCCCGTGTTACAGTTGATTCGGTCGGTAATTGAGACCTCGATAAAAAAAAAAAAGGCATGACTTCATCATGATATCACAAATTTTGACTACTGACAGACAAACTTACAGCGCAGAGTTTCCGAAGACGCAGGTTAATGGAGTCTACTGGCAAGTGTTATGGTCGCCATCATCAATTACATGAAATAGGGAACTAGGCTATCTCTTTGATTATGCTCATAAGAGTGGTTTTGTTGTCACTACCCAACTTCTCACGATGAGGAGGACCTCACATAACATGGCGTTGACCAATATTTTTTGAATGCCGTAGGTCATCGATGACGCAGAAGATGCTTAACCTTCCGGACCATCTGGTCTTATTCTCCTTGTATTTTGCAAGTCTCCATGCCTTTGTTCATATTTCCCCCAAATTTTATCCATTTTGATCAAGTTCACTCTGCGATGCTGTTGACTCTGATATTTTCTTTTTTAAGGAACCATCTTACCACCAATAAAAAGTTGAAGTTTTAGATAACGATTCGTGTTTATATAACTTTTAAATGATTTTTATTCATAAGATAATGTCAGTGAGAAGTTGAAAACTCCTGCTAAAATCATCATACAGTGAATTTACATCATTACCACTCATTCTTATAATTTGCATATTTTATTATAAAACGCATTATCAACTGATTGTATTTAAACTTTAAAACTGTTGTCGTTAAACTAAAAAAATACATATTTATCAGCCAATAATTGTTCAAGTGCCTACACAAGATTTATACCCCAGCTACGCCCCTGTCATGTATTATCCTAGGGATTAGAAAACTTGAAATCATCTGACTGGAAGCGCAGTGTAGTGGATAAGCGCGGTACTTTACAATATATTCGTGATCGAATCTTCGTAGCGAAAGGATTTGTTTTTGTGACAAAGAAAATTATGATCAATTCGTCTTTTACATAAAACTTTGCTATTTTACATACTGTAAGTTGGCAAGCAGCAATACATTGTTTGTATCAACCACACTGAACTCCCCCGTTTGAGATACAACACAGTGCTGTGACTTACTATATAAGCTATTTCTAGCATGTTGATGATATTGGGCATAACAATAACAACAGAGGTAGCGTAAGATTTTTAAGAGCACGGTCAATTTTGATTAATTACTAGTATTTTTTTAATATTTTACATGTATTTTATTCCAAGCCTTAAAATGTTATCAGTTCAATAGAGGAAGGGCTGAACTCCTATTATAACGGCATCATATATATAATTTTCTAGAGTTTTTTCTTTGTGTAGTTATATCTTGTTTTAACCTAGACTGCGAGAGGATAACAAACGACTGGTCCGTTCTCTCGGCCACGCTATATAGATATAGTCACGTTTTCATTATAGAATAGGTAGTGTATTTTAATCGTGAACGAACTCACTCGGTTTTACCTGTATTGCATCAATATAAGGTCAAACTGCTATCATTATGTTCTCTTATAGAAATGTTAATTTGTGTTCACGTTCTGTATTTAACTGTTTACATCAAACTCGATTACCTACTATGTAAATGATATTAAGATAAGTTGAAAAGTTTTGGATTTCGCTATGAAGATGTTATGTGTACCGGGTTTGTGTTTACTGCCCGGCCCGTTAGATATGTGTGACGTCTCCGTTTGTCAACTGACTTTATCGTGGCGATAAGGGTGAGTGTTGATCATGGTAAGTATACACGGGTAAATCACGGGGCTACACTGCCAGTACACATCATCTGGCCCAGCTACACCTCTCAAAGGGCATTTTAATTCCTCCAGGTAACCTACACAAACAGTCGATACAATCCGATTTTAACACGAACAATTAGACCCGAGCTACAGATCGCCCCAAGGTTTCAATACACACATGTATGTTTGTGAATGTCTTATGGAAAGTGAATCAATATAGCTCATGTATAACAATACTTGTCGTCTATAAGACCTATCTTCGGCGTCAAGCATGCGCAGATAACCCTAAGCGATCTCTATTTAATGTCTTAGCACCCGTGGAACAGTGAACACACATTGAATGGAAGTTGTAGATATGTTGTGTATATGTAGCACTCTCGTGAAACGACCGATTAGTTGGTTTGTCAGCTAGTCAGAAGGCAGCCCACCTTTATAACAGATTCCAAGGTAGTGTGGCTTTATTTCTCGTTCATTGGACGAAGGGTGGATATACTTTAAGTAATTTGTGTTCTGGATAAACTTTTAAATTGATCTGTGTAAGGTCAAACGGGAAAACGTATTCAAAGCACATTATAGACAGGCTCGAAAAACGCATAAATCCCGAGGCAATATTGAATTTCTACGCCTGATTTCAGTTCTACAACAGAATTTAATTATCAGTTTGTCGTTTATCAGCTCACCAGTGTACATCGAATTAACTTTGAACATTCTCTGCACCATTTTGCGTGAACCTACCTTGAGTATATGTGACTGTGCCACTACTAGATGTTATGTACACCACGAACACGTCTGTAATAAACTACAGGAGGATGACAGACGTTACGGTAAGCCGTTTGACTGTAAACCCTGCCAGCAGTATATAACGGTATCGGTCATTCTTACTGAAACTTAAGGACTGTCACAACACACTGGAACTAAGGATTAATATTACGACATTATCACATAACGTTTAAAAGTAACAGAGATCTGTGCTTTTATTGTTAGACGTTGTGACACGTTGGACCTCTGACGACAGCACGTGTGTGATTCTATGATGTAAGGACGCTTCCGAGTTTTGACGGATTTTTGTAGTTTGGTTTAAACTTTGTTTTATTCAGAAAAGGAAACAAAAACAAGTGTCGTGACACTTATGTAAATTTGTTACCTGTGTAGGTAAAATAGGTAAATGCTTGTAGTTTGTTTTGAAATAATCGTGAAATCATGGTCTTACGGGAACAAACCGTTGTCCAAGTAAGTTCATTGGTCAAAGACTTGGACAGGACGATGAAAATTAACGGTGGGTTAGAGGACATCGTCCTCACCAACAATCGCCAGCATATGCGGAGGGAAAAACCCCAGCTCAACTTCGGCAACAACGATCGAGTGAAAGCGTGTATAGGAAACCATCTGTTTCATGCTGTGTTTAAGTGTCGGTTTAAGAAGGTGAAGCTGTTGTTGGACCGTGGCTTTGACGTAAACATGAGGAATAGTTACGGCTACAGCGTTCTTGTGGCAGCCCTGCACATCGACGATAACGACCAGCGAGAGAAAATGTTCCGAACGCTTATCAACCGTAACGCTGATCCCCTCCAGAAGGACCCTAAGCATGGCCGACACGTCCTGTGCTGGGCATGCCTTCTAGGTTGTGTTAATGAGGTAAAGTTCCTAATGGATATGTTCAAGGGAGACTTTGATCTTCACGAGAAGGACAAGGAAGGGATGACCGTTCTCCACCATGCCACACAGGCTGGCCAAGAGGAAGTGGTAACCATGCTTGCTTCAGAGTTCCGGCGCTTTGGTTTGACAGTGGACATTGTTGACAATCTAGGGCTGACACCTTATCTTCACGCGCGGCGGCTCGGCTACACTAACATCACGCGTATACTACAAGACCAGGGCCGCGCATGTCCCGGACAGGGCGACATGTTTACCTTCCGGACCGGTCGGGAGTGGTCTTCCCTTGGCCGCGAGGAACGGCACGTTCAACAAGAACAAGAACGCTTTGGGGATTACATGAAAGCAGCAATTCTTGGTCGAAGTCGAGTTATACACCGATATCAGAGTCGAGCACCTCTTATAAAGATAACACCACCCGCTGATGGAGATGTTGTAGATAGTCGAATCAAATTTGTGGTCAAGGAGAAGACTCCTGCAGGTGGCACAAAACGCGTATCATTCGCCCCGCCCCCTGCGGAACCTCGATCGACACATCTAACTTTACCGTCGGATGTTACCCAGAGGCCTAGTTTGGCACTAACCATGATTGATATGACTCCTGGAAGTAAACAAGTTGATCATTTCAAAAGTAGTCATGCAGAAACAACAAAACCGGAAACAGATCGTTCGAACAGCCATGGAGCGACCATTTCAAATATGTTCGGAGTTTTAGCGCAACAGAACGCGTCGTCCTTTCGCCCAACGGTGGTGATTCCGACGGCGGAACCGGAAATCACACCCAGCAAACAAAAGCGGTCAACATTGGCTATACTCTTTGGTAAACAAAATAAAAAGAAGGTTAAATCACCAAGGGGATCGGAGAAAAAGAAAACCACAAAGGAAAAGAAACCAAGTAAGGGACGTAAATAGCGAGAACACATAACAGGATATTGGGAAAGTTGTCTGTGTACATTCTTGTCAAACCGGGATGGGAACCTATGGTTTCAGTCACACACGTCATTGGCATTTAACGACGACGAGGGTATATTAATGAGAACTGATAGAACGAGTCATGTGTACCTGTTTGGTGTGGTGTCGCCCATTATTAAGTCCGGGCAACGCTCCTAAACATTATGTATGAATGTGTTTATTGCAAGTCCGCGCATGATGCTGCATGCTTTTTCGCGCCTGGAGTTGTGCACGTGACGATAGCAAGCAGTACGTGATATATGTATAACTTATAGTCTAGTCCTCCAGATCGTGACGTGATATCAGGGAGTAGCCGAGAACACGTTATTAGTATCTATAGTAATAGATAGGTTTTTCATGTAATATGAAGAAATAGGTTTTTATCAAATTTTATCACATTTCCTTTATGAATGTTGATATAAAGTGTTGCTAATACCTATTCTCGCGAGTTGGTTTGTTTGTACATGTGATATATTCATTTATGTGAGTTATGTATTTTTAACATGCTAATGGAAATTAACTCACGTTTCCAACACCATGTTTTGTAGTTATGCTAAGAGTTCAATAGGATTTAAAACAGTTTCGACCGAAACTGTAGCCTGTTTAACGGAACAAAGAGCTCGTCCTGAAAAACCAGTATCTATGCCATTATACAACACCGATTCTCCGGTTTCGAGTAAAATATCAATCGGAAAATGGGACCAAATACGTGGGCGGTTTAACACTATTATACACACTGATGATTTAAGTCACAATACATTAAAACATGATGTTATGTCAATACATGTTACAATATCTATACAGTCAAACGCTAAATAGGTGTAACCGTGACTTCCCATTGCTAGACATCCGCGCCTCTATCTCAACACGACGAGAGAGTCAAAATTCAACGGAACACAAATGCCAAACCAAAACACAACACTTGAGTCAAAACCTAATACGGATTATGAGAAGTTCTTATCAATAATCCATACTTACCAACCTGAAGAAAATGTTTAGAAAAAACCTCATACGGCAAACACCGTGACAAGGGTCAAAATGACACAATAATTATACCGATTCTAAAACACTATTCAAGCCTTTATACCCCCACATGATATCGGAGTATAACACTTCCCAACCGCGCCGTTACAAGAACCAAAATAATACCTGGTTAATTCCCACGTTCTCTCGCCCCACACCACACCAGTGGTACACCTGATTCCCAGCAGACAGTATATTTAGTTAAAAATGTAATGACGGAGGATGGTACTCCTCCTCCATCCCCCATGTACTACACACGGTAACTGTGTACATCCGTCTCCGTTCCACTCTCAACTAGTGAGCCGGTAGCTCTTACACAAGATAGTGGCTGATCCACGTCCTATTGACAGTACCTGACTTTCCTGCCCCCTTCCCCTTCCCCTTCCCCCCAAAGACAGCAAGGTGATACTAAACTCCACCCGAGGAAGGCGCATTAGCAGGTTGCCACTCATCCTTCATCAGAACCGTAGACTGATTATTTCGCCCCCCCCCCTTAAGGACAGTGGGACGACCCCCTCCCCCTTCCCAAAGATAGTAGGTTGGCACCCCTCCCCTGCGAGTAGGTACTCCCTAAATGACAGTAGACTGATGATAGCCATCCCTCCTCGGGACGTTTGGGTGGTACAGTACCAATCACCTCGAGTTATGCTGTACCCCGTCTCCATAGACAGCAGAATGGCTCCCCGTTACCATAGACAGTAGAATGTCCTGTGTCTACTGTAACAGGTGGTACCCTATCTCCTAATTCAAAACAACAGAGTAAACCCCCTCTTTTAGCCCAGCATGTTGTTGACTAACCCTCTCCTCCCGTTTACAGCATCCATTGTGATACCCCCTCTCATTTCAGGGTGGTAAATATACATGTACCCATTCCAATGACAAAAGGATACACATCCTCCCATACGTCAGCAGCAGGAAGGTGATACTCCCTCCCGGGTACAGTAGGGTGATACCCTCCTTCCCACGACAACAGGTTGTTACCCTCGTGTAGTCCGACTCCTTCCCGGGTACAGTAGGGCGATACCCTCTTTCCCACGACAACAGGGTGTTACCCACGTGTAGTCCGACTCCTTCCCGGGCACAGTAGGGAGATACCCACGACAACATGGTGTTACCCACGTGTAGTCCGACTCCTTCCCGGGCACAGTAGGGTGATACCCTCCTTCCCACGACAACATGGTGTTACCCATGTGTAGGCCGACTCCTTCCCGGGTATAGTAGGGTGATACCCTCTTTCCCTAGACAACAGGGTGTTCCCCACGTGTAGTCCGACTCCTTCCCGGGTACAGTAGGGTGATACCCACGACAACATGGTGTTACCCACGTGTAGTCCGACTCCTTCCCGGGTATAGTAGGGTGATACCCTCCTTCCCACGACAACATGGTGTTACCCATGTGTAGGCCGACTCCTTCCCGGGTATAGTAGGGTGATCCCCGTTTCCCTAGACAACAGGGTGTTACCCACGTGTAGTCCGACTCCTTCCCGGGTACAGTAGGGTGATACCCTCCTTCCCACGACAACATGGTGTTACCCTCGTGTAGTCCGACTCCTTCCCGGGTACAGTAGGGTGATACCCTCTTTCCCTAGACAACAGGGTGTTACCCACGTGCAGTCCGACTCCTTCCCGGGTACAGTAGGGTGATACCGTCTTTCCCTAGACAACAGGGTGTTACCACGTGTAGTCCGACTCCTTCCCGGGTACAGTAGGGTGATACTCTCTTTCCCTAGACAACAGGGTGTTACCCACGTGTTGTCCGACTCCTTCCCGGGTACAGTAGGGTGATACCCACGACAACAGGGTGTTACCCTCGTGTAGTCCGACTCCTTCCCGGGTACAATAGGGTGATACCCTCTTTCCCACGACAACAGGATGTTGCCCTCGTGTAGTCTGTATTGACCGTCACCTGGTATCTTTTAGTGTGTTTACTGAGCGATACATATACCCTTTAAATGGTGATATTTCCCATACACTCTATAGAAATTAAGAGGTTGACATCCACTACACAGCCTTTAAATTAGTAACACCTTATGTCAACGACTTTCTTTTTACAACGCGCCATCTTCTAGTTTATGTGGAAGGAAATTCAAACAAATCTATTTGTTGAAGAATTTGTGGAAATGTGTATTCAATATTGTGAAGGCGGATGCAGGTTCGTAACACAAGTTTATTGTTATGAATAGACTGTGTTTACCTTGTGTCCTGGCCGGTCGATAGGATTTAAGCTTATATTAAACACAAACAAGGACTTAATCAGTCAAAGGAATTAAGCTGATGGCTCTTGTAACGCTGACCTGTCTTGGGACCCTGGCTCTACTTGGAACGGGGACCTACATATTGTATATAGAATTGGAACTCATTCCAAACAATACCTGTAGCTTTAAATTATGCCGGTCAAGTACCCAACATAAAACAGCACATATTTCATTCTGGAGTATTTCCATTATTTTAATTACATTTTTAATTCTCGACACCTGATACGGATGAAAGAGCAAAGGTTATTAGCTACTATATACGTCATACCTGTACTTTAGGTTACAGGTATATGCTACCTTACACATTTTTTACCTGTACTTTGGGTTTGGGTCAAATTATATGGATATATCTTATATAAACTTAGGAAATAATAATTGAAACATAAAACCCCCATTATATGCTACCTTTCACATCATACTCAAAATCGTAGTTTACTCCCATAAATTAACCACCCCAACTTCGGAACACTATAAAATATTTAAACAAAATATTTTTGGGCCAGCCGACTGTCCTACACTGTTAAGTATTATGATGTCATTGCTAGGTTTGTTAGCTTGTTCAAGTATGGTCGATTGTTGAGTAAATGTTATACAGTAATTACTAGATTTGGTCGATTGTTAAGTAAATGTTATAAAGTAATTACTAGATTTGTTAAGTAAATGTTATACAGTAATTACTAGATTTGGTCGATTGTTAAGTAAGTGTTATAAAGTAATTACTAGATTTGGTCGATTGTAAAGTAAGTGTTATAAAGTAATTACTAGATTTGGTCGATTGTTAAGTAAGTGTTATAAAGTAATTACTAGATTTGGTAGATTGTTAAGTAAGGGTTATAAAGTAATTGCTAGATTTGGTCGATTGTTAAGTAAGTGTTATAAAGCAATTACTAGATTTGGTAGATTGTTAAGTAAGTGTTTTATGGTAATTCCTAGATTTGGTCGATTGTTAAGTAAGTGTTATAAAGTAATTACTAGATTTGGTCGATTGTTAAATAAGTGTTATAAAGTAATTACAAGTTTAGTAGATTGTTTGGTAAGTGTTATAAAGTAATTATCAGATTTGGTCGATTGTTAAGTAAGTGTTATAAAGTAATTACTAGATTTGGTAGATTGTTCAGTTAGTGTTATGAAGTCATTACAAGTTTAATAAGTGTTTTAAAGTAATTAATAGATTTGGTAGATTGTTCGGTAAGTGTTATAAAGTAATTACATGTACAAGATTTGGTCGATTGTTAAATAAGTGTTATAAAGTAATTACAAGATTTGGTCGATTGTTCAGTAAGTGTTATTAAGTAATTGCAAGATTTCTTAAATTGTTCAGCAGGCGTTTTAAGTACAATGTTACCGCTTGATTTGGTATATGTTTTAGTTTAGCGTTGTAAGGTAAATTCAAGATTTGGTAGAATATTCATTTTTGTGGAATGAAGTGATTGCTAGATTTTGTGGACTGTTCAATAAGCAACTGATGATTTCCAAAGTAAAAGAAGATAAAAACAAATATTGAAAAAGTATCACTAAGTGTTTTTGGGAAAATGGAATTTTTTAATTAGTTCAATAAGTGTTATGAGGAATTTGACAGATTTCGTAGATTGCTCAGTAAAAATCTTGAGCAGGTAACTAGACTTTGTACAATGTATGTTATACATGTAAGTTGTCCAGTAGCGACATGACCTGATCGAGTGTATGCATTTGCCAAAAAATACCAGATGCACTTAAAAGAAAATGCCAACTAATAACTTTTGTTAATTTAGTAGATCAGGTTATAAATACCTCGGACAATTAGTTGACCGCAGGTCAGCCTGGTGAGATATATCCGTATAATAAACTTTACTGAAAGAATTTATGAACATTTAAGTTAAGAGGATTGTGGATCATGTATATTGTATTGTTATAGAATTAGAGACTTGTGTGAGTATAAGCTAGAGTAATCGGGACTTAACAGGTAGACTGGTACCAAAGTCGTCATCCTCCATACATCACGGGTTACACTCACTTACGTGATGAGAACGTAACTGAGCCTAGAATTTCGGGGACGCAAACTCGGACATAGAACATCTTTATGTAGTCGTACATTACATTTTTACACACAAACAGAAAAAAATCTGCCTCGTTTTCTTGATTTCATTGAATTGAAATAACCAGCAGCATATT